GGTCCACCATGCTACTGGTGGCCACCAGGTGGCAGCACTCCATCGTCCAGCAGGCCCTGTTTCTGTGTGATAGTGCGTGTCCCACCAAGACCTGAGGGACTGGAGGTTCCCAGTGCCACTTCCCAGGCCAGAGTTTCAGGGAGACCTGCTAGAATTTGAATCTTTTTTTTTTTTTTTGGTTTTTCTCTGGTACCGGGAACCAAACTCACGACCTTGCGCTTGCCAGGCAGGCGCTTTGCCGCTGAGCTAAATCCCCAGCCCCATAGAATTTGAATCTTGAGTGTTTGTGTGGAGCCAAGCAAATGCCAAGGCAAGGTGTTGAGGGTCCCCTACCCTCTCCACCAGTGATCCTCACTGGCCAGAAAGGGAGGTTGTTCCCACAGCACCAAGCTGAACTAGGCCTGGTAGCTGAGGCCCATAATCCCAGCACTCTGGAAGGCTGAGACAGGAGGACTGAAAGTTTAAGACCAGCCTGGGCAATTTAGTGATTTACCAAGACCTCATCTCAAAATTTTTTAAACCGGCTGGGGATGTGGCTAAGTGTGAAGGCCCTGAGCGCAATACCCAGTACCGCCAAAAAACAACAGCAACAAACCTGAACTGTGAGTGACGACTGAATGCTGACGAAGGAAACCACAGCAAGCGGGCAAGAGGAGGAGCCAGGAGGCCTGGCCAGGACCCCTGCCCTCTTCTCTGTGCCCGGCCAGGTTCCCTGATCTGGGCTCCAAGCTCCAGGTGGGCATCATAACTCCCTGAGTCCAACGGGGCAGAAGCTACTCAAGAATGATTCCTGGATGCAATGCAGCTTCTGCCCACAGGAGGGGGCGCGCTAACAAACTGCACCTGCACCGCCTGGCGTCCTCATCAGCTCTCTCCTTAGCTGGGAGGTGCAGCGCAGGTTCCCATACAGTCTCCCACTTCTAGGGCTCCTTTCCCTTCCTCCATCCTCTGATTTGGGCCTGGAGGCAGGGAGGGTGCAGGTGTAGGAGCCAGCCTGGCCTGCCCTGTAGGGTTGGGTTCAGCCCAAGGCCCCCCAGGCCCAGCACAGACAACAACCAGAGGATGGCCAGACCTTGAGGCCTGGAACAAGGCAGAGGGGAGCCAACGTCCTGAGGGGCATTCTGCCTAGGGCTCCTTCCCTCCCCTCCCGCTCCCCTCCCCTGGCTAGGCTGGAGGCCCCGTCTGCGTGCGTAAGCATGCAGCATGCGCATAGCACATACACACACTGGCCCAGATAGCCATCCAGCTGGGGCCGGCAGCGTACAGATTCCCCTCACCCCCTAGAAGGGTGCAAGGCTGCTACATGCGGACATCTGCGGGCCCTAGCGCACCTCCCACTGTGTGAAGCCTGTGTGTACCCCTCTGCGGCCAGGTGTGGTGGCACACACCTTAATCCCAGCACTCTGGAGCTAGAGGCAAGAGGATCACAAGTTCAAGTCCAGCCTGGGCAGCTTAGCAAGAAACTCTGTCTCTAGGGGCTGGGGATTTAGCTCAGCGGCACAGCGCAAGGTCGGGAGTTTGATTCCTGGTACCAGAAAAAAAAAAAAAGAAAAAAAAGAAAGAAAGAAACTCTGTCTCAAAATAAAACTAGGGCCGGGGATATAGCCCAGCGGCACAGTGCCTGCCTGGCAAGTGCGAGGTCCTGAGTTTGATTCCTGGTACCAGAAAAAAAAAAAAAGAAAAAAAAGAAAGAAAGAAACTCTGTCTCAAAATAAAACTAGGGCCGGGGATATAGCCCAGCGGCACAGTGCCTGCCTGGCAAGTGCGAGGTCCTGAGTTTGATTCCTGGTACCAAAAACTTAAAAAGTAAAAATAAAATCTAAAAAGGGGCTGGGAATGTAGCTCAGTGTGAAGACCCTGGATCTAACCCCCAGTATCTGGAAGCGTGGCTCACCCGCATGCAAGTACAGACCGGCTCTTGCACAAGCGGGCCGCAAGCAGGTGCTGCTGCTACCCCTGGAGGAACGAAACCTACTCTGGCCGCTGGCTGGAAGCTGGGAAGGCAGAGGAGCCCCAGGGCTGCAGCACAAGGCACTGGCCCAACACACACTCCCTTGTGCACGTAGCCACTCCGCGGCTCCCCGTTTCCAGGTAGGTGAATCACAGGGGTTTCTACCCTTAAAAAGCTCCTGAGCTCACTGAGCAGATCTCAGAGCCAGCCGCTGTCCAGGTCTGGGGCTGGAAGGTAGAGCTGGAGTCAGAGAGATGAAGGACACCCTGTCCTGAAGCACGTGGGCCCCAGGCTTAGCAAAATACAGCAGCCACACATTGCAGGGCGGGGAGGGAGCAGCAACAGGGACACTGGTGGACGGCACCTCCAAGAGGGACCTCGCATTCGCAGCTTAGAGACTCACTCGAACCCACTGCCCTCGCCCCTGCCCTCACGGGCACATGGCTTGGTGTCCATCACGTCCAGCCAGTGCTGCCGTCCCCTCTGACTGGGGGCCTGTGGCCAGCTGGGCTCAGCCACCCCTCCAAGGCAAGGAGTCCCCAGAATCAGCTGGGCTGGGCCTCCTCCCTCAGACAGGGACCTCCCAGGGCCAGGCGATGATGCTGTCTTCTCCAGCTCCTCAGCACCGGCTGGGCATAGCCTCCCCTCTAGGTCCAGGAGCCCCGCCTGAGCCCCTTTCCACCCTCTCCCAGACTCAGATGCACACCATGAGCAGCAGCTCTGCGCCAGCCCAAGCCGCCACCACTACACTACCTCCGCCCCGCCCCCGCGGATTTTTCTGGTTCTTATTAATGTAAATGAAATCTGCTCCAAGCGTCCTTAATGGAAAGCGTTCCTGGAATTTGACTGTGTACACGTGGGGTGGGGAAACCCTGAGATTAACTCTTCTGCAGCCGGACCCTCCTACTCAGGCCGCAGTGATGAGGGGGGCTCGGTGGGGGCCACTCAGCCCCTCCCAGAACTGTGTCCCCACATCCAGGGCAGCAGAGCATCGTCTGCACCCTCCCCCTTGTCTTGGGACCAGCAAGGCAGGTCTAGAGGTCTCAGAGCCCAAGCAAGGAGGCCCGGGTAGAAAGGGGGAGCCCCAGAAAGTGCTTGAGCAAGGAAGGGCCGGCAGGGAGGGAAGCTGACTGCACCGTGTCGCAGCGCCCTCATCCAGCTCTAGCCTGGTTTGGAGGTGCAAGGCAGGCTCCCACACACAGAGGACCCCCCCTTGGAGATTCCCTCCCCTCCTCCACAGCTCTTCTGAGCTGGACCTGCCAGGACCTCACTCCTGTAACTGCGGGAAGAAGAGGCGGATACTGGAGCCCAGGGCAGATGCCCAGGGCCAGCTGGCATCAAGGGGGCCGGGGCAGAAAAGCCCTGGGCTGAGCCGCCCCTTGCCCTGCCCCCACCTGCATGCGTGTTCTGGCAGAACCCTGGGCCTGGCCCCGCCGAGCTGCTTTAGCGCCTTCCGTGGCCAGGGCAGGGGTGTCTGCTGCACGGCGGGAGTCGGAGTCTAAGATTTCAGTTTCTCCCAGGTGTGGCTCAGTCCGGAGGACGCCTTGGGGAGGCTGGCGAGGGGCCCGCACCTGGGGGTGGGGGCCGCGGAGAGCGGGAGGAGCTGGGCTGGGGGCACCGAAAGGGGAGGAGGCCGGGGGGTGCAGGGAGGGGAGGGGGAGCCGGCTCCGGGAGGCGGCCCCTGGAAGGAAGGAAGGAAGGGCTCCGTGAAGAGCGGGGCTGGGGGTGCAGGGAGGCTGGGACGCGGGGCGGGCGGGGATGGGCCTCGGAGGGACCGACTTCCCCAGGGGCGGTGCTGAGCAGCCTCCTCCCCCACACCTGCCGGGCGGCCGGGGGAGGGGCTGACCCACTTCGCCGCCTTCCCCTCGGCTTGCGCTAACGAGCACTCTGGGCTTCGGGAGGCGGGCTCCCCCAGGCTGTGCCCGAGGCCGTCCTCCCTCCGCCCGCCCCTCGTTATCTTCGGGGCGTCCCGTGGCTCAGGCTGGCCCCTTGTCTGCCGCCGTGCTTGCCTGTGAGGGTGAGGAGGCAGCTCTGGGCCCCGAAAGGTGCCCTCTCTCGGTTCCTAGTCGCCCTGCTTCCCCAGACAAAGGCTCCCAGACCCCCGCTGCACAGCTCGGCTCGAGCAGAGCTTTGATCCCGCCGGGGGCCCCACCGGCCAGTGAGGAGGCACAGGGAGCGGGGCGGCCCGGGAGGGCGCGCTGAGGCGCTGGCAGGACCCTGGCGGGCAGCTGCTGGCTCGCAGAGGGTGCGCGGTGCCTGTGGTCAGCGAGGAGAGAGGCCCGTGGCGGGGGAAGCGGCCCTGCCGTGGGGAGCACGGCCGCAGGACGGAGCTCTGCAGCCGGCGTCAGGGAAGGGCGCTGGGCGGTGGCTCCGTCCCTGGAGGGAGACTGAGGAGAACGGGGAGGGCGTAGAGCAGCGGGAGGTGAGAGAGGGCATCCCTGCGCGGGCAGCGCCCCTTGGGGTACACTGCAGACAGGGTGCAGGAGCACAGCTCCGGGTGCAGGGCTGGCAGGGCAGGGATGCGTGGGGAGCCCTGGGGCAGCGAGGGTGCAGTCTGCGGGATGATGGGAGTAGGGGACTCACCGATGCATCTGGGGAGCCGAGCTCTCACCGGTGCCCCAGGGAGGGCAGTCCGGAAAGGAGCCTGCAGTATCTCCAAGTCCCCCAGGTCTTCCTGCCTAGCCTGACTCTGTCCCGCTGTCCATCTGTCCTCTCCCTCCCCAAGGCTCCCAAGGCCCAGGTGGCACTCTCCCAACCCAGCACCCTCATTAGGGAAAGGCTCTGAGAGCCTTCAGCAGCATCTGCCCCACCACCCCACCCCCTTCACAGCCAGCTGCAGGCTCTGGCCCCTGGAGCCTGATAAATATTTATGACGAGATAAGCAGGATCTGCCAGGTCCCAGCCCAAACCTTTGTCCTGGGAGCTGGGGAGAAAGGCAGCCTCCAAACCCCAGACTTGCTGGGCGTGGTGGTGCACAACTGTAATCCCAGCACTCAGGAGGCTGAGGCAGGAGGATCACCAAAAGTTTGAGGCCAGCCTGGGCCACATACTGAGTTCAAGAGGAGCCTGAACTACATAGGGAGACCCTGTCTCAAAAAAAAAAAAGAAAAGAAAACCGACATCCTGATTGGAGCTTCCTGAGGCTGGATCTGGCTCAGGGCAGGCCTCTCTGGGTGGTCTCTTGGCTCCACAGGGCGGCCTGGGCAGGCTCAGGGGAAGCTGGACTCTAAGAGACAGGGCTAGGAGCAGAGGGTGGTGAGAGCGCTGCCTCTAGGGTGCCACACTGGCCAAGGCCTGTCCCCTGCCCCTCACCATGCTGCTGTCCCCAGTGCCAGGCTGAGTCTACCTAGACTAAGCCAGCTGGACTGCTACATCCCTGGCCCACCCCTCCTGCTGATGCTGTGCTGAGTCTGGGTGGCTTCAACAACGCCCTCCCCAATGCACGCACGCACACGCATGCACACGCACACACGCACACTCACCAAGACGACCCCAGACACTGAGCGGGGGCGGAATGAGGCTGCTCAGTGCCCCTCTGAGGGGTCGGTGCTGGGGGAGGATCTCCAGCCTGCTGTGTGTTATGGGTCACAGACCCCCCAGGGCTGCCCCAGCCCAGAGCGTGCTTCTCTGAGCTGGCCCAGCTTCCCCTCCCTTCCCACCACCCCCCAAGCATCTCCCCATCAGTCCCAGCAGCAGGAGGGGAGACTGTTTCAAGAGCAGGAGACTGGCAGAGGGCAGGAGACACTGCACCCTGCACCCGAGGGCTGGTAACGCTGCACCCACCGCGGCTGCGTCCTGGCCAGGTGGGAGTGACACCGAGCCAAGGCAGGCAGGGACCTGAGCACAGGAGCACGCACGCGGCTTGCCGAGGGGCACAGCCGCCCAGAGCACGGCGGGGCCCCACCCAGGCGCTGCGGTCCGAGCTGGGAGGACACAGAGCAGCCAGCGCGGGGTAAGCACTGCCCCCAGTTCATCGGCACCCATGGTGGAGGGGGGCACATGTCTCCCAGGCTGCAGGGGGCGGAATATGGGTACATACTGGTGCTCCAAACGTAATACTTTCCTTGGTCGTGGGTGTCTGTATGGTACCGCGAAGATGGCGCAATGCCCTCTCCTCAGGGTGGAAGTCAGTGTCACTTTGGCTGTGCTAAGTGAGACACTCCAGTACCAGGGGCAGGGCACACACTGCACCTGGGGCACATTTAACTTCTCCTGTGTGCACAGCTGTTGCACCCAGAGTGGCATTTGATCCACATTTAGGGACAATCCTGGGGTATGACAACCAAGGAAACCCTGAAATTTTTGGGCTTTTTTGTTGTTGTTTTTTCAGACAGGGTCTTACTATGTACTTCAGGCTGGCCTTGAACTCACTATGTAACCCAAGCTGGTTTTGAACTCTCAGCAATCCTCCTGCCTCAGCCTCCCAAATGTTGAGATTACAGGTGTGTACCACCATACTCTATCAAAATTGAATCATTCATAGTGAACCCAAGCTAGGCGTGGTGGTGCACACCTGTAATCCCAGCACTCTCTGAGGCAGAAGGATTGCCAAGACTTTGAGGCCAGCCTGAATTACATAGCAAGACCCTGTCTCAGAAAAAAAGAAAAAAAGTGAACCCAGTAAGACCCTGGGCATTCCTGGCCCAGTGATGGGTCTAGGCGACTCGTGGGATCACTCAGGGGTTCCGAACCTGCTCACAGGGTACAGTCCCCAGAAAGGCAACCAGTCAGGATCCGTCAACTGGGACTCATGGCTGGTGAGGGGAGGGCAGCCCGAGGAGCCTGAGAGGTGACCCCTACCTCCCTCTCTGGCTGCCCTTCCCCCTGCTCTGCTCCTGCACACCTGGGGGACACCTGGCAGACACGTGGCAGAGCTCTGAGAAAAACCAGGTCCACTTGGTGCGGGGCACAGGCCAGCTGGGGGCCGAGGTGGAGCCAGCCCTGGAGCTGGGGCCTGCAAGTCCCTCCGGCTCGCATTTGTAGGGTAAGGCCCAGGACGTGGAGGGGCGCCACTTGTCCATGCATGACCGGCTCTGCCTTGGGAGAGGGTGGGGTGGAGATGGGAAAGGGGTCTCAGCCTCTTCTGGGCAAGTACGGGTATGCCTGCAGCCCTGTGTGAGCATGCCCACCTGTGGGAGCGGCACGCGTGTGAGAGTGTGCCCCAGTCCCACCCTCGCAGGGCCTGGCTCAGCGCCTCTCCCTGCCGCCCGACTCCAGCCTTAGTAGCTGCAAGCCTAGGGCGCAGGTGCTGAAGGGCCCTCTGGGGCCTGGGCAGGCACTCCTGCCTGGGGGCTGCAGTGGGCCGCGCGGGATGTTCCTGTGTTTGGCAGGATCGCCGTGGTCTGTTGGCACTTCAGGACTCGCTCATCGGGGCCAGGCTAGGGGGAGGTAGCACCCTGTAAGGGCTACTTGCCCGTGGGGGGCGCTTGGGCGGGGCTCCTGTCTGAGGCACTGACTTGCCCTTGAGGGGCCTGGCAGGAAGGCCTCTGCCTCCCTCCACCCGTTGCCTCCTGGAGGAGCAGCCTCATCAGACTCCACCGGGCTCTGGAGAGACGGCAGGAGGCCTGGGGCACCTGGTCCCCCCATCTCTTTCTGTCTCTCTTTTCCAGTGCTGGGGGTCAAACCAGAGCCCCGAGTGCTCTACCCACCGCATTTCCTGGGGCGCCTCCCACCTGTCCGGAGCCAGAGGGCCTCTCCTCCAAACCTCCACGGTGACTGCTCCGCTCTCTACCCAGACAGTCCTAAGGCTCACACAGCCCACCTGCGCGTCCAGGCAACAGCCCCGCCTGGCACTTCTGCGCCTCCTCAGAGTCCTCATGCCTGGGCTGTGCCTGCAGCTGAGGGGAACCTTGCTTGTGGGCCTGTGGGTCTAGACAGGAACAAGCCCACCTGAAGCTGCAGGCTGGAGGGGAGAGACCCCCACCTCCTTGCTGACTGTTTCATATGTGTATGTACACACACACACACACACATACACATGCACGCATGCACAGAAGAGCCCGCTCTCCAAGGCCACAGGCCGCCCATGTCACCTCTGCAGCTTGACTGCTTTAATGCATTAATGGGGAAGCTGGAGGCTCCGGAGCCACAGCACTCCCAGGTGTGTCTAACAAGCGTCTTATGGCGTCCCTGGGTGGCCCGGGAGACTCGCTCTGATGGCTCTGATGGCGGCGGGTCAGGCAGTGGGGCCAGTGAGCCCGAATGTCCAGCTCCCGGCACGGTGCTTATGGGTGTAGGAGGGTCACACTCACAGTAAAGGCTGCAAGTCGGTGCTGAGACTACACTGGGCCTTGCTGAAGTCCCCTGTGGTTCTGGCTGTCCTGGGTTCCCTGAGTGGCCTCTCTGCCTCTGCCTGGACCCTCCCATTGAAATAGGGTCCTGCTGATAGGTTTCCCCGAGTCCTGGAGACCAGGTCCTTGTAGGACGTGACAGCCGCCGTGGGGAGCCATCCTCCAGGTGTGAGCCATCACTGTTCAGGTGTGCATAGCAAACCTGCAGGTGCATCTTGATGCCTTCACATATAGCTATCTTCTCTTTCAGGATCAGTGACCCCCTAAGGTCAGGAGCCAAATTAGATCACCTCCAGGCCCCAGGCTCTGCCCAGCCAGGAACCCAGTTAAACTCAGGACCTGGTTCCAGGCCCCTAGGAGTTAGGAGACAGAGAGAGGTCGTAGCAACTAGTGGGAGCTGGAGAATTACTCCTGGCAGTTCTTTCTCCTGTGACTGGCCAGGTCCAGCGTGGCCTCTGGCTCACTAGAAAGGTGAGAGTCAGTAATTCCCAGCCCCCGCTAACCCACTCCACCCCCAACTGCTGTAGCCCAGGCCTTCCTCCTCTGCCCACCCCCTCCGGCCACATCCCAAATCCCCAATCCCAGCAGCAGACCTCCGTGTTTGCCTGTTGCCATGGTGATGGGATGCACCTTTCTGTTACTATGGCAACCAGCCAGGGGTTTTTAAAATTCAGTTGAGGTAATTTCCACCCCTCAGTCCTCATCTTCAGACACCTCATTTCTTCTCTATTCTTCTCTGAATGTAAGAATGTCGGGGGTGCACAACCCCCAGCCTGAAGTGGAGGGTCAGAGGAGCTGGTAGGAAGGCTTCTGCTGCCAGGTCATCCCTGACTCTGCCACCCAGACTGGACCCTGGGGAACAGGACAGCCTTCTCCTGCCTCCTTCCCCAGGCCCAGGTCTCTGCCAGAAGATGAGGGCTTGGCATGGCTGAACAGGCAGAAGCCAGCACACCTGGGGGGTCTGGGAGAGGGCGCAGCCTATGCAGCTCTGCGCCTGTGTGGGAGCCCTCCTGCATCCCAGGCCTCATCTGAGGATATCTTGAGATATCAGGCCCTAGGACAACAGGGCACAGATGTTGTTTATGTTCTGTCCTGGGCCTAAGGAGCTTAGCACAGCAGAACCCTGGGCTGGCCGGATTTGGGCAGAGAGCATGTGAAGGATGGCGGGAAGGGGGTGCAGACCCTGTCCAGCTGCCCACCCTTCCCCAGTAGACTCCTCTACCCTGGGCACCTGCTTCGCTGAATCTAACCACTGTAAATTCACGAGGTCCCGCATCCCCTCCTGTCCCACCCACCCGCAGGCTGGAAGAAGAGAAACTGACACCCAGCACAGACAGGGAGGTCCTCTGCCTCCCCCAAGCAGAGTAGGCTGGGCGTAGAGATGGGGTCCCAGGCAGCGCGCACGGCCAGCCCTGCCGCGCCTGTAACTCCCGTGCCCTGGCTTGTCTCTCTGCAGTCTGATCCCACAGGTGGGGCCTCCCTGAGAGAAGAGGTTCAGGCAGGGGATGGTCCGGAACAGCCCTGCAGTGGGGCTTTTGCCACCACTCTGACCTGCGCTTGTTTTCCCATCCCATCAGTAGGCTGGGGGCTGGGGATTTAGCTCAGCGGCACAGTGCCTGCCTGGCAAGTGTGAGGTTGTGAGTTCAATTCCCGGTACCGGAAAAGAAAAAAAAAAAATTAAATACCATCAGTAGGCTAGTCAGCCAGGTCCCTACCATGTGAGATGTAAAATATCACTGTAACTCCAGCATCCCCGGTCCAGTTCCCCAAAGCCAGGGACTTCAGGGCCCTCAGACGGGTGTCAGAGACAAAGGTCATAGGGCCAAGAGCTGGGGATATAGCTCAGTGGCATAAATGCTTGCCTTGCAAGCCTGAGGTCGTGAGTTCGATTCCTACTACCAAAAAAAAAAAAAAAAAGGGCACAGGGCCAAGGGCAGCACTCCCTCTGGGGTACAGACAGGCCAGGTGCCCTTGGGGAACCACAGAAAACCCCAAGATCGAGGTCCTCACCTGAGCCTTTGCCCACTCCCTCCCCTCTCCCAAGTCCTGGGGACTAGGCTGGTTGTTTTGGGGGAGCACTGCCCTCCCTAGTCTCCTCCAGCCACTCCACCTGCTGCCTGCCCACCAAGACCCATGAAGCCTTTTTAGGGTTCCCATGTGTCTGAACACCTGGGTCCATGCCACCCCCACTCCCATAACAGGATAATAAAGTCTGTTTGACACTTTTCATGAGCTATTATTCCCACCAGCCCTGTAGGCTCAACCAGCCCAGACAGAGCCACAGGGTTCCTGGTGGTGGCGGCATCATTCATTCTGTCTCCTGCCAGCTGGTGGAGGGGAGGGGAGAGGAGGAGGGGTTAAGCCAGGACCTTGGGCGAGGAGGCGGCAGGACGGCGCTGGGGGAGGATGAAGGAGCGCGGTGGTCACCACCGTTGCACCTGCCCACTTCTCCTGCCTCCGCCCCTCCCAGATTCCCAGGCCAGAGAAGCACAGTCTAGGTCCTGGAGGAGGGAGGCAAGGCCGAGCCCTAGGGCAAGGAGACGTCCTGAGTGGGAAGCCTGGGGTGTGTAGCAGCTAGAAAAGCAGAGAGGCTGTTTATCTCTTCCTCTGCACAGCCAGTGAGGTCCTCCTGGGTTTATAGAACCCAGGGAAAGCCAGACCCCAGCAACCAGTGGTTCTCAAGAGCTCACTGATACCCAGGGACCTATTTCTTTTTTTTTTTTTTTTTCAGGCCTGGGATGGAGCCCAGGACCTCATGTCTGCCAAACAATCCCTCTACCACTGGACTTACACCCTCAGCACATCAGGGAGCAGATTTTGACTGGTTTTGAACTACACTACAGTCGGGCGTGGTGGCACATGCCTATAATCCCAGCACTCAGGAGGCTGAGGCAGGAGGATCATTGTGAGTTTGAGACCAGCCTGGGCCACATAAGTGAGTTCAAGGCCAGCCTGAACTGCATAGCAAGACCCTGTCTCAAAAAGACTAAAAAAAAAGAAATCCTGAATTGCTCTGCCTCTGGAGAGGGGGGTCCCTGAGGCTCCAGGATCAGGTATCAGGGCCCAGGAGCTGTCTCCCCAGCGGGTATTTGAGAGAAAAGCTGAAGAAATGCCAGCAAGTGGTTCCAGGGACTGTGGGCTACACAAGCTGAAACCCCGAACCTATGCTCTTGTTCTCTGGGAGGCCCCTGCTGGCTAAGAGATGAGCACCCTGCTTCAGGCTTCAAGACCGTAAGGATTTAGAAAGGGCGGGAGCCTTCTCCAAAACCCACAGCTCATGATCTGCCCAGCGCTGGGCACTGGGTGGGGGGGGCAGGAGCACCAGTGTGGCTGCAGCGGGCAGTGCAGTGGATTAACTAACAGTGGTCAACTTGTAATGCCCAGCTGGTTGTAAGTGAATCCGTGTGGTGCTGCGTGTGGAGGGCCCACCTGAGGGTTGTTGCCAACGCATAAAATGGAGAACTGGAGAGGAAGATGAGGTGCTGCTGATTCTCCAGAAGTTTGTTGCGCTGCTTTTCCTGCTATAAACTCAGCTGTTCTCATTGTTGGAGGAGCTCGGGTCCTAGTCACTGGGAGGGCGGCAGGTCTCTTCAAGTGAGCGCTGGTCCTTACCTTGAGTGTCCCTTCCTGGCTCTGGTGCAGATCCCTCAGCCTCCTGGCACAGATCCTTCATCTCGCTGGCACAGACTTTCTAGTTTCTACCACTGACCTTTGGGCCTTCCCAACACTGATCCTTGATACAGACTTGCATGAGACATTTCTGTGGGCTCAAGGCCTCCAGTTGGACTGTGGAGGACAGTGCCGGGATCCAGCCCTCAGCTGGATTCTCCGGATCTCAGTGTGTGGACAGAACTCCTGTTCTCTTCTGCATTTGACTTTTTGGGTGAATATTATAAATAATCCTACAAATGATGTGTCCTATATTAAATCACAAACCGTGATCTGTGATTATAGGGCTGGGTGCTTTCGGGGGAGTGTAGGCTGTAAACCATTCTGTCAGCTGTGGGGTGGGCAGGGAGCACATCCAGACGGCAGTAGCGGAGCACAGGCCAGGCCCGGTGCTGACTGATTAGGCCGCACATGAGAGGCTTGGGCAGCCCTGCCCCTCCCCCCATCTGCATGCCGGTAGGATTCTCTCCGATCCCCTCAGCAGCCCCCCAGCTCAGCACCCACCCAGCTCCTCACATGCCACCTGCCCACCCGTCCGGGTCTCCCGGCCTCCTGGGCCATGGGTTGGCACCTCTTTCCTTAGTCCCAGTCTTGTTTTCCAGGAAGATTCTGAGCTTGCTGCAGGCAGAAACCTCATCTGGCTAATATCCACACCCCTCCCACAATCACCCAGGCTGGGCCTGGGAAAGAGAGAGACCTCCAGGCTGTTCTACAGCAAGGCAGTGAGTGAATTTGCCTTAAAGTCTTGGAAACATCTGTATCTTGTGGTGAGTCAGTCAAGCAACAGAGCTGTTATCCAGTCTGCCAGGACCTGGGACTGAGTGTGACAAAGCCAGATGTGGTCTCCATCTTGCCAGACCTGGGGGGCAAAGACAGCGGAGCGGCCTGGCCATTGAAGTGGAGACAGAGATGGCGACTGAACAGGAGGGCCGGGGCCACTGAGCAGTCCCGGAGAGAGGCGGCCGGGTCCAGGGGTTCCCGGCCTGCAGCCTGGTCAGGGCCTGCGAGGGACCCTCAGGATTGGGGCTGTTGTGCCCAGCTTTTCCTGAGAGTAGGTGTCAGGAAGAGCAAAGGGGAGGGAGTTCAGAGGAGAGGTGTTGATCACAACGCACAGCCCGGGGCCACGGGGCCAGGACAAGGAAGGGGCCCGCCCTTGGGTCACTGTCAGTGACCTGAAGGACAAGCTGTCTCAGATCTCAACAGCAGCTGATGTCACTGATCTCACTGGAGACCACGGAGCCAACCAGAGGTGGTCAGGGAACATTCAGCAGGAGCCCTGGGGTCCTCATCCCCTCAGCTTTCTCTGGACCCAGCATCCTCTTCCCACCAGGCGCAGCTGCTCTTGTGCAGGTGCCCCGTTTCAGGGGCTGGCTTGTCTTCCCCCAGCATCCGGGACGACCCTGGAGGCTCTAGCTGGGCAGATACCTGCTGCACAGCTTGGCTGACCCTCCCGGGATAGGGCAGGTCCCCCATACCTGGACGGGTGAGGCCCATTCCCACAGCCATCACAGTGGAACCAGACTCCTGCCTAGGCACTGTCCGGCTCCGGTGGCCTAACATGGGACCAGCAGGTGAACAAACAGCCAGCTGGGAGCGGGTCTCTAACCCCTCAGCCTCGGGGCAAACCTCTGCCTGCCCCGCCCAGCCAGGCAGAGAAGGTTCCCCTTCCCAGGACGCAGATGGCCTCTGCTTCCCTCGAGGAAGACTCCCCCGCAGCCCTCCATCCCCTGCCACCTCACTGTCCTTCCCAGACCCCCATGCCCTCCCGGTTCCAGTGCCAGGACAGACTGGCACACAGGGGCTGGTCAGCAAGCACTGTGGTCCCTGGTCATGACTCCAGGGTGGGTGCTCGCGGGGACAGCCCTTGGCCAGTGCAGCCGGCTGTGCTCCTCCCTGCCCCCCCAGGCGGGCTTCAGGCACGGGGCTTCCCAAAGTCTGCCCTAGGTGCCGAGCCTTCCCCCAGATACCCGGCCCACCTACCTGGAAAGGAAGGGGCAGGGCTGACATGACCCCTCTTCTGCTCCCCTCACTTGAGGAATTGGTCTTGCAGGGGCCCTAGGACCTGAGGCAGCCGGTCCGGCCTCAGACTTCTCATCTGAGCAATGGGGATGATCATCCCACCTTTGGGTCCCAGCCCTGGAAGGAGGTGTCACCCGTTAGAGCACCTTTGCCCAGGTCCAGCATTGGAGCTGTCTGTCCTGATGGGGCACGGGCCAGGGGCTGGGGAAGCCTGCATGCTTTAGGGCCCCGTAGGGCTCCCCGGGGCCCAAGGTCACACAGAGCCCCAGGCCGTGCCCTTGCTCTGAGAGCCCGGGCCAGTGGGGAGACCGAGGTGTGCCAGCCCTCCCTCTGGGTACTCCAAAAAACAGTGAGTACATCTCAAAGCTCATTTCCCATTTCCTGCTGGTCGGATCTCAGCCTGACAGGCCTCCTCCTCGCTCACCTCCCAGGCACGGCTTCCTCCCTCCCACCTCCCCCACCTAATCACAGCTCGCCCTCACCCCACGAGCGGCTTCCTCTCACTGCTCATTCCCGCCCAGCAAGGGGGGCCTTCAAGTCCTGTCATCCGGCCCCTGCCTCCCCACGAGCTCTGTCCTCTCAGGCTCCCTCAGGGAGCCCCCACCCCACCCCAAAATACCCCTCCTCTAGCTGGGGTCCAGGGTCTCAGCCCCCACTCTCAGCGAACTTGGCTCCTCTCAGCTCCCCTCCCCTGTGGGCAGAGGCAGGGCAGGGCGTTCAAGTCCATTTAATCTTGGCAGAATGCAATTTCCTGCTTCAGGGAGCTGGCGGGTTTAGTCGGCTTAATGAGGGGGGAGGGGGAGGTAGGGAAGAAGCGAGGCTGGGACAGGGCCGGGTGAGGGAAGCAGAGCCCCGAGAAGGGCGTCCGGGAAGCCCCTCGGTGTCCTGTGTCCCGCCTTGGGGGGTGTCCTCGGGAAAGCATGGGGGTCAGCTCTTCAGCTTCAAGCTCCCACTGGTAGGTCAGGGGTCCCCTCTGGACGCCCCTAGCTATGTGGACTACAAAGCAGGGGAGCAGTGCCTCCCTGTTGGGGGATGAGACCTGGAGGATGGGGCTGGGCCATGCAGCCCAGGGTTGGGGACGCTGCAGGCCCAACTGTGCAAGGAGAAAGGTGGGGGGGAAATGCACAGCAGACCCCAGCGCTGGAGCAGCGGCCAGGCTGGAATTTCAGCTCAAAACGGGATGCTTATCTGCAGGCTGCTACCAAGCAGGC